GGCGCCGTCCCCGCCGCAGGGCAGCCCCCAGGACCAGCACCACTTCCTCCGGTCCAGTGTGCGGCCGCAGAGCAAGAGGCCCAGGAAGGACCCGCCCGGCGCGGTGGGGAGCAGCGGCGCGGGCAGCTCGGGGCCCCGCGGAAAAGGTAGGGTGGCCTGGCCCGTCGGGAGACCCCAGCCCTTCTCCGGGGTGGACCTCGGCGGAGGAGAGGAAGCCCCCAACCCAACCGAACTCCTCCCCAGCTCACCCTCCCCAGGCCTGCGCTGGGAAGCCCGCGCTCTCCCTGGCACTTTGGAGGAGGATGTTTACCTCTCCTCCCAAGAGACTGTTACTTTCTGTGTTTAAACTGTGTGAAGAGACAGTAAGTAGCCTTCCTTTGGGCAAGTAAGAGAGTTCCCCTAAGGTGGTTTTCTTCCCGAAGGATCACTGATGATTTTCTGTGGTTGTCTTATCAAACAGCAGACAGTAGTTTAGAAATGGGAAGAGAAAAAAGTACCTGTTGTGTCTCTTTCCCAGACATCAGGTGGTGGAAACGCAACAAAGGAGCCGGCTTTTGCAACTGTTGGGTCAAGATTGATAAAGGGAGAAAGGGGTCTGACTTGGGCTCATTGTCCCTCCCTCAACTGTTCCTGGCTTGGAGTATGAAGGGCACAGAGATGGTGTCCTGTGACTTGCACCTAAGGCTTACTTCTGCACCACAGAAGGAAAAAGGCTGTGGGACCCTGGCAACCTAACATAACTGAGCAGCAGTCTGCAGTGTTTGTCCTTCCGCAGTGATTGAGAAATTACCTCCTAGCTGGAGCCCCTAGTAAAACAATAAGAAAGCCGAATGTCAGCCTTACTCTCCGCTTGCCTGTACTTCAGGGTCGTCTTCGTTTATTTGTGTCTCAGTGTAGTGCTGTTTCTTAATTACACAGGTGAACTGCTCGTATTCTTTCTCTTTCAGACCATGCTTGCAGCACTTTTTACAAATCAATAGCAAATATAGCATCAATTTCCAGTGAGTTTCCACATGGAAAAAAATCTTTCACTTCCTTTCCTGGGAAACATTGGTTTAAATTTAGTAAACGGCCCTGGTAGTTTTAAAAGGGAAACATTCCATGAGCTGATGGAGAACCCATTGTGGAGGTCTGTGCCATGCATGTCCCATTGAGCTTGCCTCTCCCACCTGCTTCTCCACCTGGGAGGACTGGCCCCCATCACGGCCAGTCCCTTACTGAGGGATGAAGGATGTGGATGTAAGTATACTTATGGAAAGATGTAAAAGGAAGGTGACATTGTGTGTTTCAGAATGTGAAATTTGCCTTGTGTAAGTTTATTTTGGTGTGAAGGTTGCTGATTGATTGGGAAACCATTAATTCGTTTTACTGACTTTGCTTGCTTTGTGAAAAGTAGGTTGTTTTGCTATTTTCAGGTGTGTCTAAGCTCATGTAAGCTCCTGGGTGCCTTCAAGGGTTCGTTTTCTATGGCACCCAAAGCCCAAAGTCCAGCCAGCATTCAAGCCTCATGACCTGGCCCTCTAACCTCGTTCTGCTTGTTTGTCCTCTTGAATTTGCTTTACCCTCAGAGAGGTGCTCCTGTGAAACGAGCAACAGCAGCTGCTTTGTCCCCTTGGAGTGTGGCTGCTGCAGTGAAGCAGGGTGCTGATGTGAAGCACTCCATGACATGCACATGGCTACCTGAGTGTGAGGTGAAGTGGTGTTGAGACCCAGTGGGAGGGTAGATTTTTGGCAGGGGGCAATGAGGGGAGGTTGCTTTTGTTTGCATAGTTGGGAGTGACTTGCTGAGGTGGAGGAAGTTTCTTGGGTTCTCCTCATGTTCAGGTCACGGGTGTGTCTGTCCCTAATTCTTAGACCAGTGTGTGGCTTGGAGCAGAGATTGGCTTTTCATTGTTTTTCATATTAGTAAAATGCAAATTTATTAGAATTTTTGCTCCTTGTGACTTACCCATTTTACTACTTTAGCAAGCAAATATGACTTTAGATTAGTGAGAAAGCGAGGCCTCAGTAGCAGCTTTTAGGAGAGGAGCAGGAAGCATGTCTCCTCGCTTCCCAGAACTTCTCAACCAGCATCTGCCCGTGGGCTTCCCAGGAAGCTTCCCAAGGGCTGCTTCCTGCTCCCAGGCTCCATGGGACCTCTGGCTGTTCTTCACGTGCTCAGGACATCTCCTAGTCTTCAGGGGACCTCTGCTCAGTCGTTGCCTCCATCACCTGTTAGAAAAGACGTCCAACTTGCGCCAGGGCGCCCCATGCACATTTCAAGCTAACCTTTGACTGACACTTGGAGCATTCCCTTCCAGACTGAGAAATCTGCACCCGTGGTGGTGAGCATGTATCAGGAAATGATCAATACTTCATTTTCGAATTTTTCGCTTGAAAAAGATGTAATTTTGGTCACGTGTGAGGAATAAGCAGTTTAGTCATTGACAGTCCCTTTGGTTGATAACTTGCCACTCTTGCCAGTTTCAGTCTTAGTGGGCCTGAAACCTGTACAGTGAGTTTGGAGGAAAGGAAAATCCTCCATGTCTGGTTTTTTCCTCATACAACTGTATTTTCTTTCTCTATAACAGTAGACCCGGCCAGACACGGTGGCTCACACCTATAATTCCAGCACTTTGGGAGGCCAAGTTGAGAGGATTGCCTGAGCCCACGGGTTTGAGACCAGCCTGGGCAACTTGGCGAGACCTCATCTCTACTATAAATCAAAAAATTAGCCGGGTGTGGTGGTGCGCATCTGTAGTTCCAGCTACCTGGAAGGCTGAGGTGGAAGGATTGCCTGAGCCAAGCAGGTCAAGGCTGTGGTGGCCGTGAGCGTGCCACTGTACTCTAGCCTGGGTGACAGAGTGAGACTCCAACTCAAAACAAAACAAAACAGACCCTTTTGTCAACTTCAGTGAAAAATTATTTTTTTCTAGTACAATTCCAAATTAAAATCTTTCTGAATTGTTAAAGAGATGGTAGCTAAGATTTAGTACCTCTTGCATCTTTGTAACTTTGCTTTTAAATGAGTACAGAAACTGAAGTTTATTGTTTAAGTCACACGCTCAACCTACAGCAGGTAAGCTGCAAGCCAGAAGTCAGGGGATCCGCTTGATCGCAAAAGATGTTCCTGTAGCCATGCCACACCACCCAGTGGCCCTGGGTGCATTGGAGACTGTGACTCAGAATCTTAGAGGTGCTCTGTAAGAACACGGGACAGGAGGCAGAGTCCCATTGCCCTTCGCTGTCTGGCCAGTTCCTGGTCTGGCTGGCCCTGGGCAGTTTATATCATTCTCCTGCCTCATCTTGATAAATAGCGCAGTGAAACCAGCCACAAGGCAGTTATCAGACTCTTGGTGCTTCTACTGGGAAAAATATGCGTATCTTCTAGGTTTCGACTGCAGGAGGGTCTGTACAGGCCAGTGGGACTGGGGGGCAGGGAGGGCCTACCTGTCAGGGGAGTGGAGGTCCCAGGAATGCCCTTGAGTGGGAGCCCTGTTGGGGTCATTTGGCTGGGAGGACACTGGGAGTGGGGACGAGACCCTCCACTTCTTTTACCCACCCCCAACCTCCACTCCCAAGAACTTTAGTTCCCTTGAGGTTGGGGAAGTGCACCATCTTGAGTTGGGTAGTGTAGTCTGAAGTTGTGGTTGCTTGCACTTAGGAATCAGTGACATCAAGCTGTGGCCAAAGCCCACAGACCTGGATGGGGAGAGGAGGAGGAAGCGGGGCTATTCTGCTGACTGTCCGGCACACAGCTACACATCCCCCGTGGTGCTTTGTGCAGTTGAAAATACAGCAAGCCAGGCATGTGGTCCTACTGTGTGACACAGACCCACCTGTGCTCTCAGGTCAGAGCTGTGGCCCAAGCCATGTTGGGGATGGGTCATGACAGGGCTGCACAGGACAGAGAGGAAAATGGGCACAAAAGGCTCTTGGTGAATTATCAAGTTCAAAGTTGTATGAGTTGCATTTGCTTCACATCAAGAGGTAAAGTAGATGATGCAGTTTTTGAATGTTTGAATTAGCTGGACAAGGGCAATCCTTTTTCGGGTCCCCTCCTGCTGGGGGAGCTTTTCTGTCTTCTTAATAAACTCCTGCTTTCTCACCCAAAAAAAAAAAAAAAAATTAGCCGGACTAATATTCAAATACCTACATACTTTTAATGTTAGAAACTGATGTTTCTGTGGTGTCTGTTCTTGCGGAATTGTTTTTTGCTAATGAAGTATACTTTAGGTTTATGTCTTATTTGGGGCTTTATGAAGATAACAGAGAAATAACTCCAGAAAGCAGAGTCCCAAATATGAACCTTAACATTGTCATATAAGGTGGTGTATAAAAGCATTTTGTCACATTAAGTAACTGCGGTGTTCTTAACACTGAAGAACTATATAAGAAATGCCAAATAAAGGAGTCATATTCCTAGGAATTTGTGATTTTGCTGGAATATCAAGAATGGCCTACAGAAGACAAGAAGATCTTCCTGTTATCCAACGAAGAAGGCACCCACTTTGAGAGAAACACTGGACTTCCAGTGGGGTTTCTCACAGATATTTGCAGGAGGAGGGGAGACTCTTCGAGGGCGATGGTCCTGATCAGAGAGTGCAGCAGGGCGCCGAGCCTTGCAGGTGCTGAGGATGGACACCCTGGTGGAGTGAAGGACACAGCATGGGGGGCACCCAGACTGTGTCCCAGGGATGACCAGGCTTCAGGTCTTCTCCAGACCATGGGAGAGGATATCTTGGAGGCTGGTGCTCCTGGGCAAGGCTCTCTCAGGCGTGGCTGGAGCGCATGGACTGGACCTTTAGGGACAGATCGCCTGTTGAACACCTGCTGTGTGGGACAGAGCAGCAGTGTTGCATGGGCAAGATAGCAAGGGTATGTAGTGGGAGGCTCAGGACTCATTTACTAAGGTGACACCTTGACAGGGACTTGGCTTGCCTGAAGTATCCCCCATGGGTCCACAGTGGAGATGGTCCTCTCCATCACGTCTGTGGCTCTGAGTGCAAAGTGCTGACACCAGCACCTGCTGCAGGGTCCTGTGTCAGGAGAGGCACAGAATGCTCCAGGAGACACAGAGTTGGACATGTTGGACCCTGGCAGTTTGTGCCATCCTCGACCTCCCAGGAAGGCTCCCTATGCTCTTACATAGCCAACACAGCCACAAGGAGGCTTCCCTGTGCCAGAGTCGGAGGCAGTTGAGCCTTGAGACACATTTCTGTAAACTGGTCTTAAAGATACCTAGCTGAGAATGGACGGAGTGTGGTGAAGACACGCATTTCACTAGAGTCCTCATGCCTCTGCAACAGTTGCTGACTCCCTCACAGTTAGTTGGTCTCTGTCACTCAAAGGAAGTTCACTGAACCACAGGAAGCAAGCTCCAGGACAGTGAGTTTATTCTATGAAGTACAACAGATTGTAGTTACATCTTCTGTATCTTCAAGCGGTAGACACCTCCAAAGTCTTAGCTCCTGCCATTTGTGAGCCATGTGCCTTTGGGAGAGTCATTGAACTCCTCACCTGTCATATACTGAGGGAAGGACCTCAAGGTCAAGCTTCCTCTGCCATAAAACTCCACTCCTCCAGAAGGTGCCACCAAGATGTCTCTCTGGCCCAGAGCATCAGGAGGGTGTATGCTGCTCAGCGTTCAGAGCTGTTCAGATGGCATGGCAGAGGAAATGCCCAGGTTGGGAATGAGAAGGTTGCCCTCTGACTTGGTTCTTGCTGCCTCATGACCTTGGGGCTTTTATAGTCTCAGTTTCCCTGTGTCTAAAGAAGAAGCAGTGCATTTGCACGTGTTCTGAAGGTGCTGTTTAAATACACCGTGTGTTGTTTCCAGGCCCACTGGGCATGGAGCAGCTGTGCAGCTTCATGGGTGAGCTGCTCCCTATACCTCATCTTCCCCAGTTGAAAGATGGAGCTGATTTGTCGTCTTAAGGTGGTGTGAAGGCGTACGGGTAATGGTGTTCCTGGCCAGCCCCGAGATGTGGGATGGGGAGGAGAGCATGTGGGACAGAGCAGATAGTCTAGTACGTCTGGAGCAGGGGGCAGGGCGGGCATCAGGAAAGGTACGCTGAAGTCACCTGACTGTGTCCTTCCTGTGCACGCTTTGCAGAGTGGGCTGTGCAGAGGTTAGAGACTTGGGAGACCAGAGAGGAGGCTGTTGACATTGTCTTATTCAGAGACAGTCTGGAGCTGGCCTAGGAAATCAGCAGGAATGGGTAGGGGGAGAAGTGGGTGGCAGTGGGCCCGCTGGAGAATTGTGGCACCCAAGTGGGCAGAGAGGGAAGGGGGGTTCAACTTGGGAGACCCAGGGGCCTGGGTGTGCTGTCCAGGCTGGTGAGGGGCAGAGCAAGCCCAGAGCCTCCTTTTCTGGGCTCTGTGGGGTCCTGTACTGTCACTGAGCATCTGCGGTGTGTGTCCGACATCGCTCTTGCTTTCAAAGAGCCCACTGTTGGAGGGGGGTCTGTTGCTGTACCCTCTTTCCCTTCAAGTGAGCCACAAGTGAAGCTGTGAAGCCACTCCTCACTTCCTAATCTAAAGTCTTGGGAGTATACTGGAGGCCACACTCTCTTTCTGCTCCTAAGCTTGTGATTCTGCTCAACTTTTAAAAAGCATTTAAGGGCCAGGCACAGTGGTTCAAGCCTGTAATCCCAGCACTTTGGGAGGCTGAGACAAGAAAATTGCCTGAGTCCAGGGGTTCGAGACCAGCTTGGGCAACTCGGCAAGACCTCGTCTATACAATAAATCAAAAAATCAGCTGGATATGGTGACACATGCCTGTGGTTCCAGCTACTTGGAAGGCTGAGGCGGAAAGATGTCCTGAGCCCAGCAGGTTGAAACTGCAGTAGCCGTGAGCATGCCACTGCACTCCACCTTGGGTGATGACAAGAGTGAGACTTCTACTCCAAAAAAAAAAAGGTATTTGAGGTCTGGATTGATGGGCACCAAATGTTAGAAATGTTACTTGTGTGATTTGCTTTCTTTTCTGTTTTTTTTTTTTTTAGAGCTGTGGTCTTGCTATGTTGCCCAGACTGGTCTCAAACTCCTGGGTTTAAGTGATCCTCCTACCTCAGCCTCCTGAGTCGCTGGGTCTACAGGTGCATACCACCATGCCCAGTGATTGCTTTCTTTTTTGGCTGCTCATATTGCTTCACTTTCCTCTACTGAGGCTATATCATTTTTGAATCGTGAGAAGGAAAGGCCATGTTTCTGCAGCTGACCTCTGGCTGCTGGGAGAGTGGCTTGCTACTGTGAGGAGAGGTTGCTGCCTTGTGAGCCTTATCAGAGCCACTTTTATGGTTGTACCTTCTTTTCGTGCCTGCCAGTCTGCTTTGTCCTCTTCTCTGCCTCTGACATCCCACCCAGCTTGGACACGCTTCTGCTGTCATCCTTTACTGTGCATTTTCCTTGTTTGGGATCACCAGTGCTGTGATAAAGTCTCACAAAATTAAGCAAGACATCTGGATTATGGAATTTTAGGAAGTGTACGTCTGCTGTTACTTTCAAGTATGCCTAATGCCAGTGTGGGCTGGCAAAAATAAACCAGAGCTATGATGGTAGGGCTGGTTAGCAAGGTGTGGTTTTGGAAGAAGAGAGTTTAGTGAATGTTTCTTAGGAAACCGAAAATGACTCTGAAATCCTTTGTTGTGGGTGGCACAGAGGTGGACAAGCGACTCTTCCTCTGGTGACCATGTGAAGAGTCACAGGCTCCACATGAGCCAGATTGTCTAGTATTTAAGAGTTCTGTTTAAGTGACCTCAGTAATTTGCCCTTCAGTTTGCAACAAAAGCATCTCTGACGTACTAGAAATGGAATGAAACCTATAGTTTCTGGAAACTTGCTCGAAAGTTGCCACTCCTGGGGAATATATCTTGGTTCTTGAGGCTTGGTTGGGTGAGGATTAACCAGAGTTGTGCCTGATTGCCAGCACCAAGCACACCTGAGTTACCCGTGCAGGGTGAGATGGAGCAGCTGGAAGGCAGGTGGGAGGGACATAAGCAGAGCCTTGCTTTTATTCTGCAGCAGCATGTCTAGGATTGCATGCAGAACATTCCAGTGCAGCACTGTCTCGTGGCTCTTTTTGCAATGATAGAAATGTTCTGTGCTGCCTGCCCAGCATAGGAACCATGACCACATCTGACTGTTGACTACCAGAAATGAGGCTAGTGTGACTGAGTTTTTGTTTTTTAAATTCAAATGATTTCATATTTATGTTAAAATAACTTCATGTGGTCAGTGACTCCTGAGCAGGACAGTGCAGGTCTGATATACCCAGATTGCATGATTGTCCCAGAGTCTCATGACGTCAGCCTATCCCTAAAGAGACACACCTTTCCAAACAAGAGACTCAATCCCATTCCCAGAGCTGAGTCCATTTTTCTGCATGTGGATAAACACGTTCTGCTTTCTGATAGCGGACTTGCAGAACTGACTATTTCTGGTACTCCTTCGTTTGAAGAAGTGACACCCATGGTGTACACTTTGACAGGCTCAGCAAGGCATCACAGAGGAGGATCGCGTCTCTACTTTCCCCAGGCTCCCAGGCAGCTCCTGCTCTGGTTTCTGGGATTTTTTCCAAAGATAGTCTTTACAAATCTATGTGAGTGCGTGAACTTTGAGTTTGTTGTTTCTTTTATTTTTCATGATCTTCTGTGAACTCTTTTGTCTTTCATTACCCCCTTTGGAGACAGACCCTATTGGGGGGTGGGGGAGGAGTCCGTGAGCCCCCTGGCTGTGAGCAGGAAGTGGATCCCTGGGAAAAGCCTGTGATTATCTCATTACGAAAGCATTCTAACAATAATCTACATTTATTTGACTTTTGTTTTTAAAGCATTTTTGTTTTAGTGTTCTCATTTTCACCCTTGTTCTAAGATTGTTTCAGAGTCTGTGGGTTTCTCAGCAGTTTATGGTCCTCCAGTTCCATAAGAAGAGAATACTGTCTGTCACACGGACTTGCTGGGCATCCTTCCCTCTGAGAGTAGGCACGGAGCCCGGTGGGAGGAGTATGTTAGGCCATCAGGGTTTTATCTGTGGACTGTGGCTCTCCTCACTGCCTCTCTTCTCTCAGGAGCCGAGTTCTCTGTCCTCAGCTGGGAGCAAAGTTTCCTTTGGGTTTTCTTATGCCTTTCCCCCTTAGTAGTGTTCCCAAGGACTTGACTTGAGATCAGGACCTGATGCTTTCATAGAATCTGCAAAAGTTATCAGGTTACTCTCAGAACACCAGACTTTGTTGTTGGTAATTGATAAGATAAGGAGTTTGGTTTTTTGTTTTGTTTGAATCAGGGTCTCACTCTGTTGCCCAGGCTAGAGTGCAGTGGCACCATCACAGCTAACTGCAGCCTCGACCTCCTGAACTCTGGACTCAGGTGATACTTCTGCCTCAGCTTCCCAAGCAGCTGGGACTACCAATGTGTGCCACCACACCCAGGCTAATTTTTTTTTTCTTTTTTTTAGAAACGAGGTATCACTGTGTTGCCCAGGCTGGTCTCAAAACTCCTGGTTTCAAGCAATCATCTCACCTTAGCCTCCCAAAGTGCTGGGATTACAGGCATGAGCCACCATACCTTGGCCTAGGAGTTTTAAGACTAAAGATTCTTAGACATTAAATGGTTCATATTCTAAAGTATTGATTCTATCTAAAAGAAAGTGGTGTTTTACATACATTTAAATGTTTTCTTGAGTTTTGATCTCAACCTGCTTATGTGAAAAGAATGAGAGAAAAGGGCAGTGGCATGTGAGGTGAGGCTTCCGTCTGCAGAGAGGCTGGGATCTGTCTCCACTGTGATGGCATGTCATGTGCTGCAGCAGCATCATGCTGTTGAAGGTTCCTCGTGAACTCTCTCCTTGTTGCCGCTATACAGGCATTGTGGAGCCCTTTGGTCTGGTGAGGATGCTCTCGGCACTGAGCAGTCTTGCTGGTGCCGTGATCCCAGTGCTGGTCTGCTAGGAGGAATGTGGAACGGGAACTCAGGCCAGTCGGCCTCCCTCCCTTCACCCATGCTGTCCTGCCACCCTCCAACTTTCTGGGACAGATCACTGTATAGTTCTCTCTCTTTTAGGAACCGAAGGTGGTGGATCATCATCTGGAAATGTGTCTGGGGTTGCCTCCGTTGCCCCTGCAGGGGGCTCACGTGCCTCCTCCCGGAACTTAGGGTCTTCCGGTGGCGAGAAGGAAGAAGGCAAAAAGGTCCGGCGGCAGTGGGAGTCATGGAGCACAGAGGACAAGAACACCTTCTTCGAGGGGCTGTATGAGGTAGGTGAGTGTGAAAGCGAGAAAAGCCTGCTGGTGCTGAGCCCCGGAGGCCTGCACCTCTCCATGACAGTGTGTCCCTGTCCCTTGCCACATGGCCATCAGCTGTCCCATGAGGAGCCCCAACGTGCTGAGGACAGTGTGGGAGACCAGGTCCCACCCTTGCCATTTCTGGTGAGGCAACTGTCCGAAAGCATTTTGGTCTATTCCTTCCATTTCCTTTCCATTATTTTAACCCATTGTCTCTTAAAGATGTCCCTGATGTTCCAGACCGAAGAGTGATGCTCTTCTCCCTCCTCTCCTGGTGTCCTCCATTTACAGCTGAGTGGGTGGACTGGGGGTGGGGGTGTTCCCCAAGTTAGGGCGAGACAAGGGGATACTTGCTGCATCAGTTAGAGTAGCAGCAAGACCCCAAGAGATAGCTGGGACAGTGGAAAGTGCTACAAATAGAAGCCATTCCCCAGTCTCACTGTCCAGTGAATGGCCATGCTCCCTTCTGACCGTTTTCACTTGCATATTATTTTTAAATCCTTATATCAGCATCTATTTTTTTTTCTTTGAGTTGGGGTCCTCACTATGTTACCCAGGCTAGAGTGCAGTGACATAATCATGGCTCTCCACAACCTCAACCTCCTAGGCTCAGATGATCCTTCCACCCACCCTACCTAGTAGATGGGACCACAGATGCGAACCACCACACCCAGCTAATTTTTTTATTTTTTGTAGAGATGAGGTGTCACTATGTTGCCCAGGCTGGTTTCAAACTCCTGGGCTCAAGTGAACCTCCTGCCTTGGCCTCCCAAAGTGTTGGGATTACAGGTGTGAGCCTCTGTGCCTAGTTAAATCCTTGTAATTATCATGAGCATACTTTTAAAAAAATTAATAGTAATTGCATTTTTCATGGTGTTTCATAGTTCTTCTGCTCAGTATTTTTTCATGTCTATAAATGTTGCACTTCAGCTGTAGACAAACTATGGTGTGTATGGTCACTGTCTGTTTTTGTTTAAAAAAAAGTATTGGAACACAGCCATGCCTATTGATTTTTGTGTTGTCTGTGGCTGACTTGACTGCAGTGCTACTTGCCACAGACACTATTGTCTCCAAGGTTTAAATATATGCCCTCTGGCCAGTTACTGCTGTTCTTAACCATTCTTGTATTGTTGACTGTTGAGGTCCTTTCAGGTTGTGCTGTTATAAACAATGCTGTGGTGAACATCTTTATACACATTTCATATTTAGACTGCTTTTTGGCACAAAGCATTAGAAGTAGGTTACTCGATTAGTGAGCCTTGTTCTTTCAATACTTAATTAATTGGGATGATGAAAAAGTCTTGTCGAATCTGGGAAACAGAAGGCTCAAAAAAGGAATGAAGCTCTGGAATTTAAACCATGAAGTGTTTATAGTGAGATTAGAAAAGGAGACACTTCTCAACACAGACATCTAACTTGACTGCAGTATATTCCCATGACTGGTTTTGCTCCCTTCTTGGGACTGATGGTTCTGTTCTGCCTGTCCCGGTTGGACAGGGCTGTGGTTTACTTCTGGTTGTCCAAAGAGAATGAAGTGTGTGCCTGAGTCTTGTTTCAGGAGACATGAAGTCATTCAACCAAATACAAATGTGATCCTTTTCTTCCCTTGGAGAGTTTTAGAAGAAAGCATAGAGGCTGCTTTTGTGTAGATTGAATCCTCAACTTGAGCCTTCTCTAAGCTGTTTGTTAGGCATAGAGGACTGTGATTCCTGGAATGTTTCAGAACCAACAGCCATTGGCGTGATTCTTGCCTGAAGCAATTACTACCGCACTGTGGCCCTTTGTTCTTGGGGAGACCACAGGGTCTTCAGGGGTCTGGTTCCCCAGGTGCAAGAGATGTGGCTGTCCAATTCAAGAGGAAGGTTTCCTCTGCTAAAGCCCTTTCTCAGGTGAACTAGTTCATTCTCTTCTCCTTGGATTCACCTTCCTGTTGAGAATTCTCCTCTGCTTCAGATGCTCTGCAGAGGCGAGCATGCTACCCCTGAGAGGACAGTCCTGGACACGAACTCAGATTGGTCTCTCTCAAGTCATAGCTCCTTCCAGCCGGTCCAGAGTTCTCACTGTGGCCAGGGGCTTGGGTAGGAAGCGGAGGGGGGCTCACACCTGGGCCTCCTCTCCCTTCTGCCTCTGAATGCCCTTCCATTCTAGCAGTGTCTCTGCCAAAGCCAGCTCTGACTTTTCACTTTGTTTTCCTCCTGGCATTGTCCTTGTTGGTTTTGGCCATAGAGTTCTTGATTTCCCACCTGACAGGCACACAGTCAGCAGCCTGTGCTCATGCCCCTGTGCCCAGGATTGCTGCAGGCCTGTCACGGCTCTGTGCTTCGGAGTGGTCTCATCCATGCCTCTGTCGGGCCTGCTTCCTCCTGCAAGTGCTGTCATGAGGGCATCTTGGTTTTACTATCTCCATGACTCTAAGTACTATGAGCCTCTCTACCTCCAGATAGCGTGCTCTTGCTCTCAACTTTGCCTGTTTTCTGTTGCCTCTGCCATTTGTTTATCTAGTTCCCAAGAGGTGCAGAGGAACCCCTTCCCGCATGGGGCTTGCCACCTTGTTGGAGAGATACAGCCGGCACATGCCAAGAATGCCCCAGACTGCAGGAGGAGCATAGTCTTAAGAACATGGGCATAGGAGTCCCCATATTTTATCTGCCATTACTTTTAAAAATTAATTTTCTAAAAATATTGTTATTTATTTGTTGATGGTACCTAGGCTGAAGTGACCGCCTGCTAGCCTCTCACCTAGACAGCCCATGCCCCAGCTCGCACAGGCTTCTGGATCCACCTCCTCCACCCCCATTCCTTTCTGACTCCCCAGCCCCTTCATCTCCAGGAGTTACAGATCCTGAAGTGCACCCAGTGCTGCCCAGCAGAACTCCTGTGTGCCCAGCGGAGTCCCTGTTCTCTGAGGATGCTTCAGGGGCTTCCAACTGCCAGTGGGGACAAGCACCCCAACAGTTGCCCAGTTCACTGCTCCTTCTCCACCCTCTTCTCTATTGGCAAGTTTTTTATTTTGGTTTTTCTAAGAGTCAGGGTCTTGCTTGATGCCCAGGCTAGAGTGTAGTGATGCCATCATAGCTCACTACAGCCTTGATCTCTCCCCAGTTCAAGTAATCCTTCTGCCTCAGCCATCTGTGTAGCTGTGACTACAGGTACACACCACCACAGCTGGCTAATTTTTAAATTCTTTTTGGGAGCTGTGCTCGGTGGCTTAGCCTATAATCCCGCGCCTTTGGGAGGCTGAGGTGAGTGGATTGCCTGAGCCCATGGGTCCGAGACCCGCCTGGGCAACTTGACGAGACCTCATCTGTACAATAAATAAAAAAAAAATTAGCCGGGCGTGGTAGCACGCGCCTGTAGTTCCAGCTACTTGGAAGGCTGAGGCGGACGGATCGCTGGAGCCCAGCAGGTCGAGGCTGCGGTGGCCGGGAGCAGCCACTGCACTCCAGTCTGGGCGACAGAGTGAGACTCCAACTCAAAAAAAAAAATTCTTTTTGTGGAGATGGGGTCTTGCTGTGTAGCCCAGTCTGGTATGGAACTCCTGGCCTCAAGAATCTTCCCACCTTGGCCTCCCAAAGCGCTGGTATTACAGGGGTGAGCCACTGCACCTGGCTTAAGTTTATTTTTTCATTTGCTCTTTGTATTTCAATAGCTACAAATAGCAAGTTTTTTATTTTTTAACTTTTCATTTTGAAACATTTCAGATTTTAAAAGTTACAGAAGAATCCAAAGAATTTCCATATGCCCTATCACCCTGCTTCTCTATGGTAAGGAAATCCCCACGAGGAGGAAAGCCAGGCCCTTGTGCTCTGCAGGATGAGGGCAGGGTCAGCAGGTGTCCTGCTAGCTGCTGGGTCTGGATCAGGAACCCACAGTACACTTGGCTCTTGTAACTGCTCAGTCTCCTGCAGCCTGGGACCGTTTCTCGGTCTTTTTTGTATGTGTCTTTCATGACCTCAACACTTTTGAAGACTTGCAGCCTGTTAGTTTGTAGAGGGCCCTCCAGTTTGGGTGAATCTACAGTTTCCTCGTGATTAAATGTACATACATTATGCGTTTCTGTGAAGAGTTCCACAGTAGTGACATGCCGCCTCAGTGCTTCCAATCCGGAGGTGCCCAGGGTCTCCATCTCAGTCCTGGTGTATTCTCCCTGGTCACTGCACTTAGGCAGCATCTGTCAGGTCATTTTTTTTTCTAAGACTAGCTAAGTACCCTGTTTCTCATTCTTTCTCCTACTCATTTTAGCAAGTGTTCTGCCTCTTACCCAAAACGGTTGTAGTTGTGATGTTTGCTCAGTGAGGACCTGTTTCCGTTATTCTTTCTACATTTACTGATTGGTCACTTCATGCCAGGAAAGAGCTCCCCTCCCCATTCATGTAGTTGTTTTATGATTTAATTTTATACTTGTATGGACTCATGGATGTTTGTTTTATTCTGTGAGTCTTGATCCATCACGTCATTGTTAGTTTTCTTGCCCCAGTGGTTCCAGATTTGGCCACTGGGAGCTTCCTCAGGTCGACTCCTGTGTCCTCTCAACCTGTTCCTGTCACCTCTTAGGCAAGTTCTCATTTTCTGGCCCCTTGAGGCTTTCCAGACTCACCTGGTGCCCTCCTTGCCCTAGCCCTAGAATCAGCCATTTCTCCAAAGATCCCTGGTTCCTTTTACAAAGTGATATTTAGAAACCAAGATCTGGGTGTTGGGGTGTGTATCGCTGCTGGTCCCTGCCGGTACTTGTTACAAGCTTGGTTTTGATAAAATCATTGAGCAGTTGGTTTTCTTTTCTCTTTTTGAGTTGGAGTCTCACTCTGTCACCCAAGCTGGAGTTCAGTGGCACGTTCACAGCCACCACAGCCTCAACCTACTGGACTCAGGCAATCCTTCCACCTCAACCTTCCAAGTAGCTGGAACTACAGGCATGTGCCACCATGCCCAGCTAATTTTGTTATTTATTGTAGAGATGAGGTCTCACCAAGTTGCCCAGGCTATTCTCAAACCTGAGGTCTCAGGCAATCCTCTCATCTCAGCCTCCCAAAGTGCTGGGATTTAGGCGTGAGCCACTGCACCTGGCCTCAGTTGGTTTTCTTTATGGCAGTACCTGAGACAGTGTTGATGGTGAGTCTGTCCTCTGGAATACAGGTTCTGTTCTGGAAACCTCAGTCATACTCAGCTTTTTCATGGAGGCATTCCAGGAAGGATTGGCCTACAGACATAATCAGCATGTTCTGTATGTTTCTCTTACTAGCTGTTCATGTTTTGCTATCTTTGTTTCAATGTAAAATATATTTTGTGTGATTGAAGCAAGGAGGGTGCTTCTGATCTACTCTTATATTTTTAAGATGCCAGCACTATGCCATTGTCTCCTCTCTCCCGGTGATCTTTATGGAAGTGCCCCATTTCCTGGTCTCTAAAGAATTCTAGAGATTATGCTGCTTGTGCAAAGGATAAGCTGTATGCTTCTCCTGCTCTGGGCCCTTGCTTCATTGGTATTCATGTGCCGTGATGGTTCTGTTCCTTTGCTACTTTATCCTGATTAAAATCTAAGGTCCTATGGGATCAGAGTTGAAGTTCACGCACAAACGAGAGCTGTGAAGGGCAGCTTGGTTGTCCACAGCTGGTCTCCTTTCTCCTCGGAAAGGGTCCGGCTTGCATGGAAAGTTGTGTTGGCTTAACCCCTGCGCTTTTACTGTGAACTCTATTTTCCAGCACGGGAAAGACTTTGAAGCGATCCAAAACAACATTGCTCTGAAGTACAAGAAGAAAGGCAAACCTGCAAGCATGGTGAAGAACAAAGAGCAGGTCCGCCACTTCTACTACCGCACCTGGCACAAGATCACCAAGTACATCGACTTCGACCATGGTGAGCGGGCGCCACAGGTTCGCCTTTGGGGGTTGCAGACAGGCAAGGTTTCTAACAAAGCCACGGGATATGCTTTCTGGCGTTTTCTCACCCAGCTACTTGGCCAGGGTTTTCCCTGCCTTGTGATGCTTTGGATGGTGGTATATATGCCTTTTACCTCTTGGGTAAACTGAATTCAAACATGCGGGCCATGCTCCAGGGTTCTTACTGCCACTTTTCTGTGTTGTATTTTGTGTTTCTGAGTGTGTGTGGGCTGTAGGTTCCTGGCTGACATCAAGCCTCTGTCTCCCACTGTAATTGACAGCACCACGGTCCAGCAAAGGGGTCAGGCTGTCAGCGTTGTGCCTGACTTGGGTCTGCCTGGGAGACAAAGCCCTCACCATCTGTATTTACATCCAGGTTTGCACAGGCCCGCTTTCAGTCATGTGACTTAAGTCCTCCCCAGGTACAGTCTGGCTTCTAGCTCAAAGAATCCTTTGACCGCCAACAGCTTCTCTGGGTAGCATTTTGTCCATTACAATCTCTGTCCTTGGGAGACCTTGCCACCTCCCTTTGTCCTTGTGTTCAGGCTTGCCCTTCATTCCTGCAGCTTCGTGCACAGTGTGGTCATTCCAGACACTCATGTCCACGGATGCCTCCACTTACTCCTGACCCTTCAAGTGTCCCACATTCTGACCGGGGCTCCAACTGCTATGGCCATGCCCCACCACCTTGAGCCTTTGCTTGTGCCCGCATGTTGTTATGGAACCCCTCATCCTGGCCATTCCTGCCATGTCCTTTGGCTAGGTCACTGTATATTGACCACTGTGTGTGTTAGCATCACCCAGAGCTTTGGGAAAAGCTAGTACCCAGCACCCTCATCTGACTAGGGCAGAGCTCTGCAGGGCCATAGACTCCTGCATGCAGCCTACGTGCTGTCCATAAGGTTGCTGCCATCTCCAGAGACCCATGGAAATGACTCTCAGTCTCCACCTGTTGGGGACATCCCTTGATAGACTTGATGGGTCCTCTGCTGATGCTGTTTAGTTTGTTTGCTTTTGGTATCCTTGTGACCATTAACATAAGACTTTCTGTTAACGTTATTGAATTATGGCAGGTTTATGGCATCTTGCTTTGTATTTGCTAGCTGTGCTCATCAGTGAACACCTGCATCACCAGTTTATTTGAAATCTCAGTGCTGGCTGGGTCCCATCAAGGCCAAGGCTGTTATGGTTAATGTGGGGTTGCAGTGAACAGCTTCATGCCTTCCAGAGAGGCACACCGTGCTGATTTTTAGCTCTCTGGCTCTCTCTGTGTTGTCTGTCTTCTGCATTTTTATTTTCTTGTCAGTATATTCTTAGTGACTCTCTGGCAGTCAGGTCATGAAAGCAGGTCTACCATCCACTTTGACTGGTCTTGTAAAGCTCTCTTTAAGTGAGAAGCTGGCCAGCAATTTGAGGAGAGGGTTGGGAGGCTGTTTGGTAAATGGAGTATAGAGAGAGCAACAAGATTTCTTGAGGCTTGATCACGTGTGATCAGCGGTTTGCCTGCCCACAGGCAGGGTGGGCGGTGTCTCGGAACACTCAAGTTCCCAGTGTAGGCTCAGGTCTCGTCTCCTCCTCCGAGGTTCAAGTGTGTATTCACCAGACTGCCAGATACATACTTTTCCTTGTGTTCCTTGTGATTTAGGAAGGCAGTTACAGCAAATGTTTCCTTTCTGTTTTTGTCAACTTTCCCTGTTGCACACCTCTCCCCTGGTGCCGGGAGGCATCATTCCTCCTCAGCCCTTCCCTCTGTTGGGGATGAAGTATAGAACTCCCACACACGGATCTGCACATCTCACCTGACACATGGCCTTTCCCCTTCTCCGTGTGCTTCTCTGTGCTTCCCTTCCTCCCTGCCTCATCCGCTTCCTTATCTGGCACAGTGGGTCCCCACAGCCTTGGTGTCTCCTGGTGGCCCATGTGCTGCTCCCTCTTCCTGTAGAGCTCACAGCTTCTGAGGTACTCTGACGGTCTTGATCATCTTTCCAGAAGGTACCACATGTCTGCCGGCACGTACCTGATTTGGGGCACCTTGGTACTGTCAAGTTGTTTTGTGGCAGGCTTCCACCCACGAAGGGAGTCTCGCCCAGCCAAGAGTGTCAGGTCAGAGGTCACCAGGATACTCTGAAGACTGCTGTGGGCTCCTCATAATCTGTATTTTGCATCATGCAAAGTGATGATATGTATTTTATAGATCACATATATTTTTAATGGTGCTTTTGAATCTGTTGAAAAACAGCGTCATCTTTAATTTCCCATGGGTTGGTTTGACTCATTAAGCAGAGTAAGAGTCAAAGCAGCAGTGGGTGAGGAGAGCGTAACTGCATCCCATCACTGCTCAGAAGCAGCGGTCTTATGTGTGCTCTGTCTAGGAGTTCATTAGACTTGTTAATCTTGCGTCGTCTCCACGTAGGTCACAGGTCCCCACTGGCTGCCATGTGGGTGTCACTGTGGAGGGTGATGTCCTTGCATATTGCTTCTCTGCTGGTGTCCCTTGCCCAGTGTAGATTTTATTTCACAGACTCAAAAGTTTGGATGAAGTAAACTCTGTTTCCCTGAGTCTGGAACAAAACACACAGGTGCTTGTCTGAAGATGCACAGGGGCCCAGTAGAACATCAGGGATGCCTGTTGGAACCCTTGCTTTGTCCTGGGGGCTCCACTGCCCTCACCCCACTTTCCCGTGGGCCACTTTCCCGTGCTTTCTTGCTCTTGGCTGCTCTTTCTTCTCTCTTGTTGAATTGTGGGTTTTTTCCTTTCTGCCATTTCAAATAGCTTTTTTTTTGAGTTGGAGTCTCACTCTGTGAGACTGGACTGGAGTGCAGTGGCACACTCCAGGCCACCGCGGCCTCGACCTGCTGGGCTCCAGCGATCCTTCCGCCTCAGCCTTCCAAGTAGCTGGAACTACAGGCGCGTGCTACCACGCCCGGCTAATTTTTGACTTATTGTAGAGATGAGGTCTCGCCAAGTTGCCCAGGCGGGTCTCGAACCCGTGGGCTCAGGCAATCCACTCACCTCAGCCTCCCAAAGTGCTGGGATTACAGGCTGAGCCACCGAGCCCGGCTTCAAGTAGTGAACTTTGAAAGACATATTTTCAAAATGGAGATGTACTCAGATACCATAAAATTCACCATTTTAAGGTGTACAGTTCACTACAGTTTTTTATATATTTACAAGGTTGTGTAGTCATCATCACTGTCTACTTGTTGATTATTTCCATCACATCAAAAGGAAACTCCATGTACCTGGATCTGGGAGCCACCAGTCAGCTTTCCATCTCTGTGAATTTACCTGTTCTGAACATTTTACATATGTGGAGTCCTACAGTATGTGCTGCTCTGTTTCTGTCCTCTCTTACTCAGCCTAATGTTTTCACAGTTCCTCCACATTGTAGTCTATGTTGGAATTCGGGTCCTTTTTTTTTTTTTTTGAGTCAGAGTTTCACTGTGTATCCCAGAATGGAGTGCAGTGGCATTCTCACAGCCACCACAGCCTCCTCAACCTGCTAGGCTCAGGCAATCCTTCCACTTCAGCCTTCCAAGTAGCTGGAACTACAGGTGTGTGTCACCACACCCAACTAATGTTTTGATTTTTATTATAGAGATGAGGTCTCACCAGGTTGCCCAGACTGGTCTCGAACCCGAGGGCTCAGGCAATCCTCTCGCCTTCGCCTCCCAAAGTATTGGGATTACAGGCATGAGCCACCACACCTGGCTAACTCAGGTCCTTTTTAAGGCTGAATGTATTCCATTGAATGGATGGGCCACATCTTGACTCTTTATCAAGTAGTAGATCTTCAAGTCCCCTGAGTCGCGGACTCAGACCTTGAGTCTGAGGAGCTCTTGGGTCTTCCTCTTAGGAAAGCCTTCGAGAACTGTTAACCTGTGGTGTCAGCAGCTCCACAGACCCTTAGAGCTCATCCAAGCTCCAGAACCCTCCTTTTATATCATATCTTCAAAACCTTACTCTCCATTAACTCATGTGTATTTTTTCCTTCCTTATTTAAACGCACACAGCCAAATGATAGGACCTTGGAAAGAGGTCTCTGCAAAGAAAGCCAGAGAGGACAGTTGTGAGAAAGAATGGAAGGGACAAATGACCTTTGTGGCTCGAAGGTGCCTAGACCCTTCTGTAGCTTGGCTTTTTCATATCAGGATTAGGTTTGGCTTCACATAATCAAAAAAATTCACAATAACAGTGGCCAAGCACCTCAGAGTTCACTCTCTCATGTCAGAGACAAGGCGGATGTCCAGGGCTGGCAGAACCCAGGCTCCTCCTGTCCTGTACTTGGCTGTCCTGAGTGACAACTCCAGATAGCTTCTCTTGGGAAAGAGGGGTGGGACAAGGGGCACCCTCCTCCCCACATCAGGCTCTTGGAAGAGCCTTCTAGAAATATCCATAACACTGTTCCATCAAAGGCCAGAGCCTTTCATTGTGGCCATGTCCAGCTGTGCATGTCCCAGCCTGTTTGCTTGCCAGATAAAAACAGGGCCTCTTACTATGGAGGAAGGAGAATTGACAGCAGACAAGGATGCACATTTGTCCCTTCTGGTCCATGTAGATCCACTGTCAGGGGAGGGCACAGGTGAGGCAGGAAGGCACATCCGAGGTTGCAGAGTTGCCAACCTCACATGTGTGCAGATACAAGTCATAGATTTACTGCTGGTCACATCTGTCACATCCACCTCCTCTGCAGACATTGGCTGTGCTGAGTGCACCACATTCTCCTCAGGGGACTCTGCTCTACCTCTTAGGAGTTTTCCAAGCCTCCCTTGTTTTCATTTATTTATCATTTTATTTTGACAGTTGCAAAAGCAGCACAGTGCACCCTATGCTGTCTACCCAGTTTCCCCTGAGGTTAACATTGAAGGTACAGGAATCAGAATGAGAAAACCAGCCTGAGCCCTCCATCTCTCCTGTGCATGGGCACTGCTCCGTCCTGGGATCTACCTGTCCCCTTTCTGAAGCTTTCTCCTTTTCTGTCTCACAGTGTTTTCTCGGGGACTGAAGAAGTCATCCCAGGAACTGTATGGCCTGATCTGCTATGGCGAGCTGCGCAAGAAGATTGGGGGCTGTGAGTACCCACCACCTGCGGCTCCTTCAGTCAGGGCTCTACTGTCCAGGTCACCTTTGATCTTCGTTGTTTTTAGAGATGAGGTCTGTTTTGCCCAGGCTGGTCTCGAACTCCTGGCCTCAAGCCATCCTCCCACCTCAGTCTCCCAAAGTGCTGGGATTACGGGTATGAGCCACTATGCCCAGCTCACCTTTGATCTTAGTGCCCAGGAATGTTTCTGTTTTCCCTCTAATTTTTTTTTTTTTTTTTGAGTCAGATTCTTATTCTATTGCTTAGTCTAGAGTGCAGTGGCACACTCATAATCACCGCAACCTCAACCTGCTGGGTTCAGGTGTTCCTTCCACCTCAGCCTTCCAAGTAGCTGGGACTACTTGGCCACCAAACCTAGCTGATTTAAAAAATTTATTGTAGAGAAGAAGTCTCGCCAAGTTACCCAGGCTGATCTCAAACTCCTGGGCAGGCAGTCCTCTCTCCTAGGCCTCCCAAAGTGCTGGGATTACAGGTATGAGCCACTGTGCCTGGCTTCCATCTAACTTTTAACTTGAAAAGTAGTTTAATAAAAGGTGGAAGAATAAGATGACCCCCATATACCTTCACTTAGATTTGTCAGTCACTGACATGCCACGTTTGCTTTCTGTATCCCTCTCTCCCTGCACACACACACTTGCACGCACACACGTTCATTCAGTGATACATTCTACCACTTGACTGTAGTGCATCAACCCACACCCTGAGTACCTTCGTCCACATCACCTGAGAACTGGGACAGACACTCTCCTACACAGCCACAATCCCAGCACCCACACCAAGACATTTGACGTTTCTCAGACAGGTCCAGCGATCTCACGTAAATTCCTGCCCACATCCAGCATTTCCAAAACTTTCCCGTGTGTCCATCAACACTCCTTCTAGGGCGTTGCCTTGTGTGACTGGCGTTTCCCTTGTGTCTCTACCCAGAGTAACCACACTGTGAGGTTGTGTGGTTGTCATGACATTAGCATTCGAGGCCTCCAGGCCTTTCTTACAAAGCACCCCCTCACTTGAATTTGTTCTCATCTTCTTGTAACCAGATTTCCTGTAGACATTTTTGACAAGAGCTAGGGACACTCTAGTCTTCCCAGGCGCCTGTGTCCTGTGCTCTTGACCCTACCTGTGCTCCATGTGTGATCCCAGACAGGAGGGAGCCCACCTCGCCTATGCGGTGGGTGTTGTGGTGGTGCTTCGAGGGTTAAATGGGATAAGGTATGACCTAGCAGCTTGGTGAACTCAGGGTGGTTGGTGGGGCTGGTTAGGACGGACACTGACACGGTGCTCTGTGTGTACCTGGCCTGTGCTGGGCTCTGACCCCCTTGCTGCCTCCTCGTGGCTTTTCATTTGTTGGGTGGCTGCTTCGCCCAACTGCACTGGCCACTCCTACCCGGGGAAACCAAAGGCTGCCTGGCAGCACCCTCTGCTCCTGCGCCTGCATCTCTGCCAGCTCTTGCCCTGCTCCTGCCATTTCCCACCTGCCCTCATGCAATCATCAGAAGCAACCTGGACCTCTAGGAGCTTATGCTGGGACCCTCCCAGCTCTCCTTTTCCACAGAGGAAAAAGAAAACTACGTCTTAACCACGTATGCCCATTCTCTGTAGCCCAGTCCTTCTGTTCCACCACCCCATTCCTAGTTCCCTCCATAGAAGCTTCTGGAAAGAGTCATAGTACGTGTTTTTCCAGGCCACACTAGTCACCTTCTCCCTAGCTAGCATTCTTCTTGTCAGGAATGCTCTTGACCTCTGCACCCTGGGTCCTCTTCCCTCCCAGGCCTCTACATCTTTTGCTCTTCCTGTGCTGTACCCGCCGTGTTTTTGGCCAGTGTCCTTCCGTCTGAATCTCCGTTCTTCTCGGGTGGCCTCACCTAGTCCGGTGGCTTCGAGTGCCACCCGTATGCTGGGGATTCACTCCTGCTGTGATTGCCCACCTGGCTCAGGACGTCAGACAAGAACCTCAGCCCCACCCCACCCCCACCCCAGCCACTCTTCCTCATCTTGGCCAGTGGCCCCAGCATGGAGGCAGCTGATCAGGTGGCATCTTGGGGACTGCCCTTGCTGGCCCCTTTCCCTGCTTCTCCCACCGCCTGAGCCATCCACTCTCCCAGCCCCTTCTTCCCTCATGTGGCCAGGGCACGACTGGTTCCCTGCTCCACTCCTTCCTCTGATGTTCTGCATACCTCACAGTGGTAGAGAAGGGCTCTCAGCCCCACCTCCCCGAAATCTCTGCTTCCTGTGCTCCATCCTGTCATGGCAGCTCATTGGGTCCCACCCCATCTTGGGCGCAGTTCTGTGACCCCTCTGCAGGTTGTCTTGACTCCATGTGCATCTTTGGACATTCTCTTGTCTATTTTCTGCTCAGTGACCCTGGGCAACTCTCTCTTTTCCCTTGGAGTATCATGGGACTCCCTGACGAGGGCCTTTGCACTCAGACCTCAGGCCTATCTTTCTGGCTGCTCCTCACTTCTCTTTTGGGTGCATCCCTTGGTTACAGTGGGCTCCTGCTCTGCCCCTGGTCCTGCTGGGAACTCCAGATGGTCCCTCTCAGCCCAGCCACACCCTACACTCGAATGCAGGTTTCACATGCACACCTGGAGTCCCATGTGGGGCTCTCGACCCTTAAGCTGTCACAGTGTTCTTCACCCTGCTGGGAGTTTCACTCTCTGAATCCCCACACACGCACACCACTCACTGACAAGTTTATCACATGCTCGGCTCGTTGATGTCCTTGCTTTAACTGTTGTGTCATTTTGCGTCTCTTTCAGGGAAGGGTTGTTTGTGTCCCTGAGTGCCTGCACACAACTGCTTGCTCTGAGCCATTCAGAAGTGCCAGGGCCTTGGGGGTTGGCGCGTACTCTTTTTTTTTTTTTTTTTTTTT